GTCAATAGCATATTCTTACAAAAAACAACCGACTTACAATTAAGCAGGTATATACTTTGCTTTTATTCATCGAGTCACATGTAAGAGATTCTCTTCACCATATAATATTATAAGTTGTAACAATTTTTTTCTTTCTGAAATTACCTTCAGGGCATTCATTGATTTTAACTCTAGTATGTATATATCTAGTTTTTATATGCTGCTTTTCCTGTAACTACTATAACTGATATTGTTTTACATTTTTATACAGAAATGTATTTTATGACAGCGCGTTCATGATTTTTTTTTTAAAATACTACGTGTGCACTGAAGTTAGTATCAACAATATTTTGAATAACAAATACCTTTATTCTTTAATAATTTTTGTTTTGAAGTGAACATATATGTTTTAAATATAAGCTGCAGAAAGCTATCTTGCATATCCACTTAATACATAATATGTTGATATTTTAACAAGCAATTATTTTCAAAACGGAAAAATATGGAAAACCTGTGGGAATCTTAGGTGAAAAAGGACCATTTACCTTCAATTGACAATTAGAACCGTTTGTGAAAATAAACTTCCAAATGTCTTTTGAATTTATGGTACATTTAACCGTTTGAAATACATGTAATTCCACTTCAGTTCTTTATACACTCAGGAATGTCGTATATCCACGTTAAGCTACAAGTTTTTATAGATAGCTTTAAAGTGCAAGATTTTGAAAAAAGTAAAAAAAAAATATTTGTTTACTATTCGAACTTAAATCTATGTATACGTTCTTAAAAAGTAGGCATGGTAATATTAGTTACCTTGTTATGTAGTGATACCGTACGCATGTTGGCATGAAAGCTAGTTAGTGAATTTCATAACAAGTGAGAAAATTTGCATACAACTGTAGAAGGCATCCTCCCGTACCCAGTCACTACATTACTATGTAAAGAATTTGACCCATCATTAATAAATATTCAGGTGTCTATTGTTTGTAAAGTTAATCATTTTTTAAAAAAAAATTACTTCTGACTGTCTTGTCTACAACGGAGACTGTCTTTCACCATTTTTGTTGTGACGTCAAAATAAAACGCATATTTAACCTTTTGACCCCCTGTCCGAGTTATGGTGTTTTGAATGCCAAAGATTTCCACACACTTCATAAGCAAAATATATGTGGAATGTAAATATTTGTATATGACAGTGTATAGGAAAGTTTATATCTTGTTGGATCTCTAAGTACTGTCACTTTGAGCGGACACGGGTACATAAAACAAAAGTATAGCGAGTATATTTTTACATAAAAAACATTGATTCCATCCTGCAATGAACCAGACAAACAGCATACATGAAAAAAAAAAAAAAAAAAAATATTGGAAAACTGCCGGTAAAATATTGCAATTAAGGAACTTAAATTATGCATAAGCATAAGTTTCTCTCCCTCTCTCTCGTTTATATGTATAAATGCATATGTATTTTCATGCCAGGATTTTCCTCTTAGTTTCATAGATCATATATCTTTTGATTCTGATAAATGCAGTGGGCAACGGAAGCATTAACAGCAAGATCATTTGTTATTTTATCAATTCATTATTATGCCATATGAACGGTTATGCAATACCTCAACGATATTTTAAATAATAAGCAAAAATATATTCTTGACTGAGTTTTTTTTTAATGAAAGTGAACATTTTTGTTTGATATTCAATTCATATCAGTTTTCTTACATACGTGTATTTACTAAATCAAAGAAACGTATGCATGCAGATACTTACACCTGTTGTGTTTTAAATACCAGTATATATAAGAAAAGGTCCATGGGCCACATCGCTCACCTGAGCACATTGGCTAGGAAGAAGCAGAAAGAAGAAGCAGAAAGAAGCAGAAATCATTTCAGTATTGAACAATGACGGAGGGAAGGGGGGCACTACCTCAGCATGCTTCCATATTAATATTACTAATCATGGCTTTGCTGTTCAGAAGCAAACAGAAGAATTTCAAAGATTTTTTCCCTAGTATTCCTATGTAAAACTCTGATCACTCATTGTGGCCCCACCCTACCCACCCTAAATTTGAACAAATTTGAATCTACGCTATCTGAGGATGCTTCTATAATAATATGACTAATCATGGCTTTGTTGTTCTTGAGCAGAAGATTTTTTTCAAGATGGTTTCTATATATTCTTATGTAAAACTTAGACCCTCTGTTGTACCCCATCACCCCTGGGGGGTCATAGTTTAAACAAACTTGATTCTACAATACATAAGGTTGCTTCTGTATTAATATGACTAATAATGGCATAGCTGTTCTTGAGAAGAGGATTTTTAAGGTATGTCCTTTATATTCCTATGGATGGTAAACTTTGACCCCCTGTTGTGGCCCTGCCCCACCCCCAGGGGTCATGATTTGAACAAACTTGAATCTACACTACCTGAGGATACTTCTGTTATAAAATGACTAATCATGGCTTTGCTGTTCTTGATAAGAAGATTTGATTTTAAAAGACATTTCCTATACATTCCTTTGTAAAACTTCGACCCTCTCTTGTGGCCCCACCCTACATTCGGGGGTTATGATATGAACAAACTTGAATCTAGAGTATGAAATGAATCTTTCACATAAGTTTCATCTTTTCTTGCCAATGGTTCTTGAGAAGAAGATGTTTATTAGAAGATTTCTATAGGTAGTCGTTATAATTATCCTCCATGTCGATATCAATATCTGACAAGTCTACTTCATTGTCTGACACGTCAACAAAATAATTTAGATGGCAACTTATGTCGACTTATCAGATAATAATGACACCCTGTCAGAAATTGTCAGATAAATATGACGATTTTTCTGATATTTATACTAGCTTTTATTCGAGGGGTGTCCCATCCTTCAACGAAAATTAGGGAGGAGCTGTGTGAGAAAACGTTAACATTGTCGTCTTTGGGAAATCTATTACTGGACTGTACCCATCTAATAATAAATGTGTATATAGGTACGAGGGGTGATCAAAAAGTTCGCGAACTATCTGTATATTTACAAATCCACAATTCAGATCAGAATGAAATTAGGTACACCCATAGTCATACACACGCTCTATAAAGAGCAGGCGATATGTAATGTTTTGCTCCATGTTTGTGACGTCACAATGTGAAAATGACTTCAATATATTGATGACTTGTTACAAAAAATGGTTGACTCAGTCGTATCCATCCTATTGCCGAGATTTGGCCATTTCTGACAAATGGACTGTTTTTATTATAGACAATAACTTGCATTGTAAGAAATACAAGACTCAGAAAAATCTTTTAGCTTCTGTAAACAGAAAGCTACGGAGCATGTCACATGACCGCCTGGATCTCGTGATACACGCATGGGCAGAACAGTGGCAGATGTGCACTAAAATCGGAGAGGACTATTTTAAAAAATAATGAACACTGAAACCTAGTTTTATTTCTTTCATGGAAGTAATTTAATTAGTTCGCGAACTTTTTGATCACCCCTCTTATATAGTGGCATTATTCTGCCACACCATTACGGAAGCATGAAGTCTCCACATTTGTTGTTTTTACATGTACATTGTCTTATTTCTAGGTGTCTTGTCAATATATAAAATATTATAATGTCATCTTCCTTTAGTACGTCGTTGAAATAACAATAATTGTAAAGTGGTTGCCCTTCTGCGAAATTTCTATCAGTATAAATAGACAAAAAAGTCCTTCAAACGCAGTACAGTGAAGGTGCCCAAAGGAAATATATTGGCGATTTTTTAAAAATACAAAATACATTCTTGACAAGTATGGGCGATTCTTTTTGTACTTCACTTATATCGGACATATATAATATGGTTAAAATTTACTTGTTGAGGGCGATTAGATTTTTTATTTAGGTTTGTCACATGATGTGGCAGTAACGTGATTTTAGTAAATATAATTGCAGCATTGAGATAATCTATAAACCATAACCATTACCAAGTAAAAAAATCTAAGTTCAATTTATAAATATTTTCAACACTAAGTAGTTTGTAAAAAGTGCTACAAACCTCTAAAGATTCTATTGTCTAATTGTTAAAATTATATATGTTAGATGTTGAATATTTTGCTGATCAACTGCATTAAATACAGAATTATCTATTTATTTGCAAGATTTCTTCAGGTTTGCATTACTTTTCAAATATCTTAATACTTCATATGTTTATGTGTTAATGTGTAAAAATAAATGGGCGTTTCAATATGAGCGAAAATTCTCGATGGGACGTCAAACAAAGAAACAAAGAAGCAAACAGGTATACAACCGTATCACTTGACTAGGAAATATATGGAAAACATATGAATGAAATCATAAAACCAGCATCGCATCCAAGTTAATGACCTCTTACATTATGCAAATTGTATTTTGTTTTTGATTATAAAATACATTTTGCAATATATAAAATATTTCTTTTTCTCACTGCATAAAAACTGCGTTAAATTTTTCGATATCACACCACACTCACAAGTGCATTGCGATGATTTTTTTTTGCTTTTTATCTAGCTGTGTGGGATTTAATCACAAAAAACAAAAAACAAAACAAAACTGCATGCCATAATAAATTCTTATGTAATTTAAAGCTCCCTGAATGTTTGATATCGCAAATAATTTCATTTGAGGTAATTTGAAGAATTTTTGTGTGATGTTAAGTAAATACTTCCCATTAAATTAGATTCCACCTCCTTCATGTAGCCTTAACTGTCCTGCGTGGTATTTACACTCTTCTATTGGTCATTATTTAATCGTTTAAATATAGTCTGGATAATAAAATTCACCAAGAATTAAATTAAGATTGTTACATGCCGTAGTTGAATGATGGTTTTGATATAAAAAGTCTATAATTATATACAACTTTAATACAATGTACTGCAACATACAAACTCGTTAAAAATGTTTTTTCTGTACCTCTTTCAAAAATAATAGAAAAAATATAAATAGCCTAATGAAAAGCAAGGAAAGCTCTTCTTAAAACTGCATTTTTTTAATAAAAAAAATTAATGTAGCTCATTATATATCTGTGATATCTTGAGATATTTTTTGTATTAACTTTTCCCAGAATTCTTCATAATCCCGTTCATTTTCTGGGTATTCCAGGTAGCAATCCTGTTTAAGTAAATCGGCCACTTTGTTTGGGTAAGTTCCATTATAGACATCGGGCATTAAAATGAGAATAATAAATCGAATATTTCCTCTGTCCTTAATGCCTTCAACTTTTGCCATGTTGAGTTCATAATCCCGCCACTTGGAGGACAGATACCGCTTGGAAACGACACACACAGCTTTACAGCTTTCTTGTAAACCTTCCATAATGCTAAAGGATTTTGAGTCACCAGGAAGGAAAACTTTGTCACGAATGAGCAGTTTAAAACCAGAGTATGTCTCTAGTCGTGGATACATTTCAGAAAGCACAAATGTTCTGTCACTTCCACAGTATGATATGTATGCATCATATTTATAGTGAACAGTTGATTGAATGTTGCCGATGAAATTTCCCCTATTTTGAAATCTCCGTTTGGTTTTATAAATAATGTATCGCAAAGTCCATTTATTTTTGTACAAACCAGCTCCAACTGAGATGCAAGTTATGAGTGTTAAAGCAATGGCAGTTGGTAAATATATAGAAAGGTAAGATCTACACTGCCTTGTGAGTTTTATGACAGAATCGTCTAATTTTGAAAATTGAAAAGCGACTCGTTTTCGGAACATTTGTAATTTTTAAGATTTTTAAACGTATGTTTATTTTGGACAATCCACTTTAAGAATTTTAAAGACTGACAGGAACATGTAAAAATATTCCCCGATAGATTAATTTTGATTTTGTCTCGTCTTTGGTCTAGTAATTTCTGAAACGATTCCATTGCTGTTTCAGAAAAGGAGCTTATTCTGTTGTTTGCCAGGTCCAATAATGTTAGATTCCTCATATGATATAGTTGTGAGTAAAAATCGGAAAGTTTGTTATTTCTAATGATTAAAGATCTCATTCGAACTGTATGTCTAAAAAAGTTTTTGGGAAGGTGTTCAATTTGATTATGGGAAATATTAAGAACTTCTAGTCTCTTTTGACTTTGGAAAAGACTCCCCTCAAAATCATTACCAAAGGGCAGACCCAATATATTGTTTGATAAATTCAACGTTACGAGAGAATATAAATGAAAGAAAAAAATTTGCATTTACTTTATAACAATTATTGTAAGAAATGTCTAAATATGTTATATTATCTACACCTACGATAGATCCTTCCCAATCGTATAAATCATTATCATTTAAATCAACTTTCTTAAGCTTTTCTGCGTGAATACCAAACCATCCCAGCTTTCCATAAAAATGAGATGAGTAGATAAAAATTTTCTTTAATTTCGGGGGCAAATAAATTGTTATATTTGGCTCGTATACGTTCATGCGACCATGCTTCCTGTCAATAGTACCAGTTGTTCTGTTTTTTAGACACTGATGGTTTTCATAATTTTTTGTATGAAGAATATTTCTTGTACACTCATGTTCTAGTGAAATATCTTTATTTTCTTCGCATGGATCTATCCAAGCAGTAGGGTATGTTAATCCCAGGTATTGTTGAGATATATCCACTACCTCTAATCCTGTAAGCTGGCTCAATTCAAATAAGTATTTTCCTGGTGTCAATCTATTCATTTTTAATGTAATTTTTTTCATTGACTTTGGAAGGCTTTTTAAAACACCTTCCTGAAATTGTTCAAGTCGGTTAAATGAACTGGAGAATTCCACAATAGATGTGTTGTAGAGATTCTGCAGATGACAGTGTCTCAGTATTGTTCCTTCTCCAGTCGTGCAGGTTATGGAATCAAATATGAAACTTCTGATGCTTGTTATGCTGAACGAGTCAGTGACATTTGGTAAAATTGCAAATCCCATTTCGCGATTATTTGAGATATCAAGAAATGTCAGATTTGGATGTTTATCAAACACACCTTTTTCAATGTAACGAATATTACAATAACTTACATCAATATGTCTCAAGCCTGGTAGGTTTTCAAAGAAAGATTTAGGGATATACCTCAGGGAACAAAAGCTGCCGGTACGTCCTGATATATCTAGATATTGAAATTGTTTCAACATCTGAAAGATTGCCGGAAAATTTATGTCTTGAAGTCCATTGATTTTTAAAACTCTCAGAGAAACTAGCTCTGAAATAACTTCACTTGGAAAATCCCATTGTTCAGTTTTAAGTGGAGAATTCTTGATATCCAACTCCTGCAACGACTCCAAAGTTTTAAAAATCCCTTCATAAAAATTATTTTTTGTGTAATTGATATCATTATTATAGTCTAATTTAAGAATCTTTAGTTTTGTTAAACCTTCAAATGGATGACCTCGAAGACTTTTTATGCAATTTGCTGTTAAGATGAGAACAACGGTATTTTGTGGAAGTCTTTCTGAATTGATCGAACATATATTATTTTTGCTCAAGTCTATCCAGTTAACATTCACAGAAAAATGAGGAATATGTTGCAAATCAAGGTTGGAACAAGACGCTTTGTAAAATGATCCTTCTTGGTTGCACATGCATCCCTCTTCAGATGAACAATTGGCTTTTTCTTGGCTATATGTCTCCTTAAAAATGGAACACAAAATCAAATTGCTAGTAAATAATTTAGGGTAAAAGGCAAGTACTGCAATTCTTGATAACATTTCCGTAAAATTCTTTCTTTTATCCAGTTGATTGTTAACAAACACCTTATGCTTATGGACACAAATCTTAAAAGATAATAGCTCAAACATAGGCCGGATAAGTAGATGAATAAGCTTGAAAAGAAATAAGGAAAAAATTGCTATTTTGTAAGTCTTAACTTCCCTGTCGAGTGTAAATGTTATAAAATTAAATGATATGGAAAGAGGTATAAATGATTTTAGATAAAACTCAAAAGTCCAGTCTTTTATAAATCTTGTAATACACTGATGTAAATTTTTTAATGATTCTAGAAGTAAAAATAACATATTTTCTGTAGAAAACAAAAGTTAACATACCTGTTCTTGAGGAAAGAAATGATAATTTAAAAAGAAACACAACGGCAACAAACAAGACATAATAATCTATAATGAAGTAAGAATGGGATATATTTCCACCATGTATATCTGCAAGATGGTATTATATCTATCAAAAATAAGCAGCAAATGGAAGTAGAAGATTTCATTGGAATTCGGGGAAAATGTATGCTGTGAAACAGAAAGATCTTAGAGTTTGAGTTGGATTAGGTTTGGTATGCCCTAGTATGATTTTTTGTTTATCTTTTGGAAACATCCTTTTACTGTACCCAATGTATTTACAATACAACTATGTGGAGTTTAATTGTAAAAAAGAAATTTTCGGAAGTAGTGTGTTAGAGGTCAGGAAAATATCCATCTGATTGTCAGGCGTTTCCTATGAAAGAATAATTCATTAGTCATTTGCAAAATTATTTTTTAAAAACATTCACACAACTATTCTGAAGTTGATATTACAAAGGTGCTTGAGTTTCTGATTGACAAAATATATGTAGTTTTTGAAGACCAGGTCTTCCATTGTTGTTCATTATCTGTTGGAATTCCCATGGGTACCAATTTTTGTATTCATATGAAGCAGAATTATTACAAAAAGAAAACCCCAACCAAAAATAAAAGAAAAACAATAAACAAACAAACAAACAAAACACCAAGCAAAAAAAAAAAAAAAAAAAAAAACAAAAAAAAAACAAAAACAAAAAAAAAAAAACAAAACCCAGAACCAAAACAAAACAAAACAAAACAAACAAACAAAAAGAAACCGTTTAAACCAAGGTCCCGTGTCGCAGTAGATGTTGCCACGAATCAGATACCTCACTGCTCAATGGCCCTGAGTGCCGAGTATAGGTATAAACTCGTCATTTAGATACATTGACGACGTATTATCAAAAAATAATTGCTTCAATTCATATGTCGACTTGATATATCTTAGTGAGCTTGAAATAAAAGATTCCACAGATTCTGATACATCTGCTCATATTTGGATGTTTCACTAGAAAAAAACCTTAATAGTAACCTGACAACAAAACTTTATGATAAATGTGATTACTTCAATTTTTCAATCGTCATCTTCCCTTACTTATGTAGCAATATACGCTTATCACATGCATATGGTGTTTATATCTCCCAGTTGATTAGCAAGAGGATGCTCTACGTATGAACAATATTTAAAACGAGGCAAGCTATTGACAAACAAGTTGTTGAAACAAGGATATAAACAGTCTTGTTTAAAGTCATCATTTCGCAATTTTTATGGTCGATACAATGACCTTGTCAGCAAATACAATCTATTATAAAGTCAAATGCTGACTAACGTTTTTCATACTAATTGTACGGCTATTATTTACAATTTGCATTGTCTACGGATTTTTCCCCCTTTTTTCCCGATCATAACAAAGAGCACACGGTGGGTGTGACCGGTCGGCAGGGGATGCTGACTCCTCCATGGCACCTTATCCCACCTCTGATGTTTTCGGAGGTCTGTGTTTGCTCTGCTCCCGATTTGCATTGTTTAAATCGATTTTGAGCTTGAATACTGTTCGTTATCTCCATATTTCATTCATCTCTATTTTATGAATAATTAATGGATAATTCAGGCAATAAAAGAAGAGTAACTTATAGTGCAGTTTGTTTGCTGTTTTCATCTAAAGGTTGAATGGGAATGTTGTTTCTAAAAACTCTCAATATAGGAAGTTTTAAAAATGCTTTTATATGTAATTCTTCGTGCAGCCAAGAAGTCGGAAAGAGAGTTAAATGTGTCGAGTTAATAAAGCGGACGAAGCTAAAGGAAATGTTGTCTCAACAGGCATGACGTATCAGTGTTCTTTCCCTGAAAACAATGTTTTGCATTTAATTAGTATGTAAATTGTCTTCAAAAAGCTTGGTGACCCTCCTCATTTTGCTACGTGTCAGCCAAAAAGAAGATCTCAGACAGTGAACAATTTTTGATTGATTGATTGATTGTATATTTTTTACGTCCCATTGGAGAATTTTTCACTCATATAGAAAAGTCACTATATATCAGTGAAGGGCTTCAAATTTAGACCTTTATTCGGCACTCAGAGCCATTGAACAGTGAGGGTTCTTTATCGTGCCAACGCCTGCCGTGACATGGGGCCTTGGTTTTTAAGCTCGCATCCGAAAGATCCTCAGTTTTTACTTCATAGTGCCGAGCGCTTGGGCGAAGGAACAGTTGCTACTTATTTTTTCATCGACTTAGGTCAGTCGCGGCCGAGGTTCGACCCCACGACCTTCTGATCAAAGAGCGAGCGTTCTAACGACTGAGCTACCGTAACGGTCAACAGCTTTTGATAAACGTTGTGGAAATATTTGTCTCTAAGCTATTTAGCAAAATAATAATTCAGACTGGCAGATTTTCCATC